GCGAAAAGCAGCAATTTGCGGGGCAACGGAGGTTGGGCTTCATCAGCAACTCTCTTTGTACTACATACTGTGAATAAACACAAGAAAAAGTATGAGTTGCGAGCATTTGTCAACTTCCTGTTGAAACCATTCCTGGTCGATATGATTTATTTGGTTTGGGTCTAGGACATATCAAAAGCCCATAAAGTTAAGAGGGTGGCCAGCACTACGGTTACGGGGCTTCTTAGAAACAGGAAAGAGAGGCATGACAAGCCCAATATGCGTTAGGCTGGCTGTATTTGCGTAGTACGTTTCTGTTACTTTTCTACGTATTGCCAAAACCAATTCCTCTTTTCTTTTCTGTTTCTTGTCAATGTCAAGAGATGATGCGAAAGCGGTGAATTCCAGATATTTAACCTCAACTCTTGATCGTGTAAAAATCAGTATGTGAAGTCTGATCCTACAATTTTTTTATGTTCGTGATGTGTAGGAAGGGTTGAAAGAGACGAGACATATTGACTACTAGAATATCTCCGTGGCCTATTTTGGGCTTTTCCTTGTTTTTTTTTTTTTTGGTTAAAAATTAAGTCTAATGCATGGTAAAAAACATTTGAATCCCACAGATTCATGAGATCTTTACATAGCTGAAGTATCAGCCCAAGAGTTAGCCTCTCTATAGGAGTGGTAGGCCTTGAAATCCTCAAATCCCAATCCCTGAATAAATGTAAAATCAGGGTATTTTGAGCTGCTTCTAGTTAAACTTGGCAGATTCTCTGAATAATGCAAAATCGAGCCCATAACATGCAGCCTGCAGGTCTCCTATTTCCCCGTTGAACTCAACAAGAAGACAAATGAAAGCATATTCAAACATCTAATGCAAAGGATTTTTCTTTTTCCAAGTAAAAAGTGAATTGCATGTACCCTTTTATGTCTACATCTCACTCAATTGAATCATCCGAACAATTTGCCCTATAATCTTCTCACAGCCCAAAAGCTCTGATTATTTTCTCTTGATTTGAGCTATAGATGTTCCCCTCTAGTAAGTGCCATCCTTTCACCATCCACATTTGTCTTTTTGGAAAAAAGAGAAAAAAGTTGGATCAGTTTATTAAGAAGTAATACTGACACGCACTTGAAAAGGCCTGGAATGATCCAGTTCCTCCGCCTGTTACTTCCACTTCAGGACATCATAAAAATAAGATTTGATAGTTGCATTATATCTAGCAATAAAATCTTCTCTGTTTAGGTATCTATAGCTGTTACTTATTGATATAAACTTTGTGCCAGCCGCCATCTAAGCAGAGCCGACTGCCGACCCTCATTGCCCAATATAAAGACTTTGAAGAAAACAAGTCCAATGCAAATTCTAGAGCTAGATTAATCATTCAAGTTGCTACTGTTTCCGATGGCAGCAAGTAATGATTAAGGAACTTGATCAACATTGAAAATGAAATGCCTAATAACCCATCTGCTCATAGCCGATGTAGCATCCAATGTCTTTTGCTTTTTGGTGGTTGCTTGAAACGAAAAGGACTTAAAAAAAAATTGGCCTGTATACGTATAACATCGTTTTCTTCTCCTTGCGAAAAAGTACTTACTAGATCACATCGTCATATGGCATATAGGCTATAGCGAAAGAAAGTGAGTAAAGCCCTCATTGATGATTGTCCTGATTCAACTAGAAAACTCCCTTTCAGAATCCAGGTGGTCCTAGAATGAATCCCATATCTAACTTTGACGTCCTGTTTCCGTAAGAAAGATAGAAACGTAAAGATGGGTGGGAAAGTTTTCTGTCTCGTTTATTTACAACACAATGTTTACGCAACAATCGAAATGTATATTGAATATCAGAATCATTTTTCTTTGTTTGTACCTATAAATGTAGGCCACGTGTTCATATTTTAATTCAATCAAAACTATGGTTTGAAGAAGAATTTAATTAAGCTCTTTTAAGTTGTATGACACTGATAACCTTGCTCTGAATCTAAAACAATTTAGCTGCTTGAGTTAAAAGAACCTTTGAAGGGTATATTTAGGTTTCTGAATCGGCCTTGCAAACAGTGCAACTTTCTTGAGAGTTTGATCTTTTTAAGCCTTTTGTCTCTGTCAATAAGTATTACGTTACAAATCAAAACCCGAAGTCCCATTTCGGCTGCTACACATCAATATTGGTTGCTTCACAGAATATTGACCATTGAAAATTCTCAGTTATTTTTGTTGCTTGGAATATCTGCTTGGATCACTGCAAAGCTTGGTCGAGACCATTGTTTTTCAGATACCAGCCCAGGAAATTGAATTGCATCCATTCACCGAGTCTCTGTTTAAATACTCATACGCAGATGAATATTTAAACCTTATGTTATTGCAAAGCCAATTTCCACCTAGACGTGCCGCTTACATGACTTTGCCATATCAGTTGTGACTTTGTGAATTAACTACATTAATAGAAAGGAAAAGCCACAGAAAAGTAACGTATTTATTTATTTTAATCGAGAGATTGAATGCATAAACCCCTTTTTTACTCTATCTTTTGCAGCATGGCTCATAAGGATTTTACCACCAATGAAAAATTTTTAATTATTTTTTTATCTATAACTTTAAAATATATATTTGTTGGAAATTAGTATATAGAATTGCTTTACGTAATTCCATTTATCTCTCTACTCTTAATTATAATGCAA